GTGTGTGTGTGTGTGTGTGTGTGTGTGTGTGTGTGTGTGTGTGTGTGTGTGTGTGTGTGAAGGGGAGTGGAAAAGAGAAGTGATTTGTCTGACAGAGGTGGCTCGAGCAAATTCCCTCCCCTGTGTGAGAAGGACGTGACTAAACAAAGGCAGAGTTCATTTACAATTCTGCGAAAAATTCGGCAGTCGACCTTTACCGCATGACAGGAATGTGGCCCGAAAAATGTAAACTTTTGGATCAAACATGAACATGGATACGTTAGGTAAACTGGCTGCTCCTGCCACAGCAAAGATCCGGTAAGAAGATGGGTTTTGTTGTAAATTTTGCGTGAGCGTTGTTGCTTTAAGCCAATTTTTAGTTTGTTTCAAATGTACAAGGAGTATAATTAGCAACAAAAAAAAGAAAAACAAAGCTATGATTTTTATTATGTATCTTTTTTATGTTCTGCTTGGTAATATGTTCTGCAATTCATTACAAAACACTGTAAAACTACAAAAATGTCCATATAGACTTGTATTCATTGTATTCAGCAAAATGCCTCTAAACTCTGTCTGGAAAAGTGAAATGAGGAACTTATGTGAATGCTTCTTTGGAAAGTACTTTTTTGAGCTGAGAAACAAGACAAATTACATGTGCATGTACAACTGCATTTATTTATGACTTCTGTATGAAACCTTATGTTTGCGTTCCAGGCAGCTTCAGAAGATCGTTCAAGATATCAAGAAAAATGATGGCAGCTTCCTGAATAAACTAAAAAGGTCAGTTTCTTAGAATGAAAGCTTTGATTTTCTGCATGGGAAAGTTACATAGTTGTTCAATTTATCTGTCCTGCTACAGTCAAAGAAAAGAAAAGCCTGGTGATCTAAAAGCAAAAGAAAAAAAAAGTCCATGCGGTTTGTGTACATGCACCAGTGGAGAACGTCGATTCCTCTTTCACAACCGTTGGAAAAAGAGACGCAAAGCAAAAATAACTAAAACAGATGGCATCTCTCTCACTTTCCTTTCCTGAAATGAGTCCCCTCAAAACACGCTAAGGATAGAAACTGACACACAAAGGCCATTTATTCAACTCGTGTCTTATGTTTGCAAAAGACTGCTAACTGCATTTGTGCGTGTCATCCTTTTGTGGTTTTACAGCCTTCATGAAGTGAACACACATTTGCTTAAGTTTAAGTGGTCAATGAGTGCACTTTGTTCCACTGCCGAGTTGTCTAATGACAGCGTGTGTGTGTGTGTGTGTGTGTGTGTGTGTGTGTGTGTGTGTGTGTGTGTGTGTGTGTGTGTGTGTGTGTGATGTGAGACAGGCTGACAAACAAACCGGTGCCCACAGTACCGGCGAGAGACTACAGAGGTAAGAACTGAGTCATTAGCCCATATAGTACACTGAAGGAATCAGACATGTAGATTACAGGTCACTGTAATCTACATGTCTGTACAGGGCACAAAGATTCACCTGAGCGGGGCTCCTTGTGTTATTCCTATCCCAGTACAGAAACATCAATGGGACACTTGCTACAAAAAAAAAAATAACTTTGACGTTTCTGACTCATCTCATTAAGACTCACAAAGTTTCTTTTGACTTCTGATGCTCTTGGACGGGATTTTTATTTTTTGTACAGCGTGGGGGTTTCAGACTTTGTCCCACGTGTCTCCTTTGTGCAACTGTAGGAATGGAAACTTTTAAAGAAATCAATCTGTACACATACAGCCATGTGTATTTTTAACTCTAGAAACACAAATTTGACATTTTGAAAGAAGAGAAGTTTGCTATCACTCTCCAGTTTTGATTTGCCGATACCTGCTAGCTTTCTATGAAATAATCTCCTGAACTCTATCACCACATTAGACATAAACATTTACATCTGAATTACAAGTCATCAGGCTGGATTATTATTTTTTAACGTACATCTTTGATTTTTTTGCCTCCGTGTCCATGCTTGAAGGTACAAATTTACTATTAAACAAACTGCAGCTCAGTCAGATCACCTGTTTTCAGATATTGGCTTGATAACCTCTTTGCTTAATTGCATAAAACTTACACAAAAACGTCAGTAAAGTGTAAAAATACAGAATGATAAAATTGCATCATTTTAAATGACTGAGAGACTTTAGTCTACAGTTCAAGAGGTGAGGAGACACACATCACTGGCTCCACAACCGAAACACTGAGTTTTGAGGTTTTACTCTAAAATTGTGCTCTAACACCTGCTGAGTTTCGTTGGTTGCCAGGTTTTACTGTTTTTAGAAATTTGGCTTTAATAACAGCAACGATTGCGTTTCCACATCTTGATTTCTTCCTCTTTGTTACGAAAATGCCTTAAACCTTTGTGTTTACAGATGACCACAGGGAAAGCGACGATCAGCTGTCGGATTCTGATTACGTAAGTTAGAAAAATGCTCATTTTAAATGATTCTTACACTTGCTGATAAGCTTGCTATTAAAAGCGTGTTTATTCCAGGACAATGACACATATGAGGATCCACGTGATGATGACAGCTACGAACCTCCTCCTAGCCACAGAGTCTTCACCGCACCTCCCTCTGGTTCCTTCCCAAGGGGCGAGTATGTCGGTCAGTAGTCCTTTGACCTTTTTTGTCACTATACATACACGCTTTTTTTTCTTTGCTTTTTTTTTTGTTTGTTTCGCTGATGATGCTTTTGAAAATTTACGCAATGTTGACTTCTTTTAATAAAGTTTCTATAGCCTTGAAACTCACTCTTTTGCAGTCATCCCTACATTTCTGCAGAAGTGTGACAAACACACATTGAGTTGCAATACACCAAGCTGTCTCCATGCAAATGATGTCCCTTTTTCTGGTTCTGCTTCTCCTTTTCAGACAGTCCGCCCAAGCGGCCACCCAAGAAGCCCCTCCGCCCAACTAAGTTCAAAGAGCTACCCCCTGAACCCCCAAACGTGGGAAGTGATGAAGTAAGGCCACTTTGATGTGTCATTTCAGTTACATTTCACGACATATTTTAAAATATCTTCCAACGAATGTGGGGATGTTGCCTCTGTTGCTTTTTAGGAGGACTACATAAATCCAGAGGACAATGACAACTATATAGAACCTTCAGAGAATCCTAGCAGTAAGCTACAAGTCAAACATAGAGAAGAAAAAAAAGATCTGTGCTTTGCAATAGTACAAATACAAATAGTTACAGGAAAAATAATAACAGTCCTTTCTATGCTTTTCCTCATACGCAGTGAACAGTGGGAACAAAGCTACAAGAGACCTTCCCAAGTTACCACAGCGGACTCCGAGTCCCGGTGGGTAAAGCACATGGCCAGAGGGGTGTGCAGTGGTCCATCGTTTATCGCGGGGGTTACGTTCTAAACGCATTTCGTGATCGGTGAAATCTGCAAAGTAGCCAACTTTATTTTTTACAATTATTATAGATGTTTTAAGGCTGTAAAACCCCTCACTACACACTTTATACACTTTTCTCACACAGGCATGAACATTTTCACACTTTTCTCTCTTGGTTAAACACTTTCAAAGTTCTAACCTTGGTAGAACAAAAAGTCCAGTATTATAGAATGAAACCAAAGGCACCCACGGTTGCTTTGATGGTGCAAAATGTCTCGTCAACATTGTTGTTTGTTGGGGATAAAACAACCATACAGTACTGCACTTCCGAGTCACACTGCTAGCTTATTAAGATTTATGTAAATTTGACAAGCTGAACACATTCTGTACTGTGCAGGAGACACGGCACGAGATTGACTGACAACGGTCTACAGCCAATCAGAACGCAGAATAAAATGTGCTGTTAAAAAAAAAAGAAAGAAAGAAAAAAAACACACAAAAAAAATCTGCAAAACAGCGAATCCGCAAAAGGTGAACCACATTATACCGAGGGACCACTGTACTACAAAGCAAGATTAATGGGTTAAAACGGTTTGCGCCAAGTGCAATGTACATTCTTTGCTGAGTGAATACATTTTACATGTGCAAGCAGTTAGGCTTTACTAACATCATGAACAAAGCCCAGCTGTAAAGTTGCAGCGGTGCAAACTGTGCACCTCATTGTCATGGGACTTTACTCATACCATGATGCAACAAAAACTGTAAATGATTTTGTACTTGATTAGTATCTGCTGCTAAACGCTAATGTCAGCTTGACAACATGTTGTGTGCTAGTACCTCTTGTTGCAAAAACATTAGTTTGGGCACTTGTCAAAACGTTAGCGATTAGAGGTTAGGCTGCTTTGTTATTCTATCTTACTACATTTTTTTAGTAGTAATTAAGTTTTGCATGTGTTTTGTAAACTACATTATCAAGTTTATTAAAATTAGAGCCTCACTATGCACTAGATTCAGTTCAGTTCAATTCAATTCAGTTTTATTTATACAGCGCCAAATCACAACAACAGTCACCTCAAGGTGCTTTATATTGTAAGGTAGCCCCTACAATAATATATACAGAGGAAAAACCCAACAATCATATGACCCCCTATGAGCAAGCACTTTGGCAACACTGGGAAGGAAAAACTCCCTTTTAACAGGAAGAAACCTCCAGCAGAACCAGGCTCAGGGAGGGGCGGGGCCATCTGCTGCCACCGATGGGGTGAGAGAAGGAAGACAAGATAAAAGACATGCTGTGGAAGAGAGACAGAGATAATAAGTATGATTCAGTGCACAGACCTCTCTATGCATCATGGGAATCCCCCAGCAGCCTACACGTATTGCAGCATAACTAAGGGAGGATTCAGATGAAAAGTTATAAAATCTTAGAGGGTAATGAACCAACCACATCTCAACCACATCTCTATTCCCTTTGAATAGAGGCATGTATCTCACATTATGTAGTTGCTTCAGAGTTGTCCACAATATTGGTTTTAATAAAACCACTCCCCACAAGGGAAAGATGCGATAAGTGTTACAAAGAAAGTGCTGCACAAAAAACCTTGTGAGTAATTTAGTCGATAGCAGATTGCTGCGGTGACCCATAGTTTGCATGTAAGAACTCGGTTTGTCTGCAAATGCGAATGAGCAGCTGAGCAGTGGTAAATGGTAAATTCTTTTTCTGGCTTAAGTGTCACACTTTTCACAGTTTTATTTGGTACCTTCCGTGCAAACTACACGCAACTGCATCAATCTGCTTTTCCAGCCTAAAGCCAAGAACAAAAAAGAAGTCCCGGCTCTGTCGTGACTCCTGTATTTAACAGGTTATTAGTAAATGCATGCAAATGCAAAGGATAGCTAAAAAGCAGCCGAAGAGGCCGATGTAAACCAGCACCAAAAGGTGGCTTTTTTTGGTTCTGCTGCCTGCCTAATTGATGCTGTGGTTATTTTTCAGATTTTTATGAAGTTCCTGACAAAGAGGTAGGACGTTTATGTAAAATGTAATTACACATTTTTTACATGAATACTTGAAGCTGAACACTGTTTGCATTTTATGCTACCCTCACAGGACAATTCTCCAGCTCATCCAGGAAGCAGGTTAGTTTAATACTTTCCAGAGTTACATTCATTCATGTAGACAGACGTCCAAATCTGTGGTGGAATGTAACAAAGTAAATTTACTCAAGTACTGTATATAAGTGTAATATTAAGATTCTTAGATAGTAGTTTTTTTATTGCCACATTTTTGTAACACTTTTACTTTTTCAGTACTTTGTTATTGACTTGATACAGTGGGGCAAAAAAGTATTTAGTCAGCCACCGATTGTGCAAGTTCCCCCACTTAAAATGATGACAGAGGTCAGTAATTTGCACCAGAGGTACACTTCAACTGTGAGAGACAGAATGTGAAAAAAAAATCCATGAATCCACATGGTAGGATTTGTAAAGAATTTATTCGTAAATCAGGGTGGAAAATAAGTATTTGGTCACCTCAAACAAGGAAAATCTCTGGCTCTCACAGACCTGTAACGTCTTCTGTAAGAAGCTTTTCTGTCCCCCACTCGTTACCTGTATGAATGGCACCTGTTTGAACTCATCATCTGTATAAAAGACACCTGTCCACAGCCTCAAACAGTCAGACTCCAAACTCCGCCATGGCCAAGACCAAAGAGCTTTCGAAGGACACCAGGAAAAGTATTGTAGACCTGCACCAGACTGGGAAGAGTGAATCTACAATAGGCAAGCAGCTTGGTGTGAAAAAATCAACTGTGGGAGCAATCATCAGAAAATGGAAGACATACAAGACCACTGATAATCTCCCTCGATCTGGGGCTCCACGCAAGATCTCATCCCGTGGGGTCAAAATGATCATGAGAACGGTGAGCAAAGATCCCAGAACCACACGGGGGGACCTGGTGAATGACCTGCAGAGAGCTGGGACCAAAGTAACAAAGGTCACCATCAGTAACACACTACAACGGCAGGGAATCAAATCCCGCAGTGCCAGACGTGTTCCGCTGCTGAAGCCAGTGCATGTCCAGGCCCGTCTGAAGTTTGCCAGAGAGCACATGGATGATACAGCAGAGGATTGGGAGAATGTCATGTGGTCAGATGAAACCAAAGTAGAACTTTTTGGTATAAACTCAACTCGTCGTGTTTGGAGGAAGAAGAATACTGAGTTGCATCCCAAGAACACCATACCTACTGTGAAGCATGGGGGTGGAAACATCATGCTATGGGGCTGTTTTTCTGCCAAGGGGACAGGACGACTGATCCGTGTTAAGGACAGAATGAATGGGGCCATGTATCGTGAGATTTTGAGCCAAAACCTCCTTCCATCAGTGAGAACTTTGAAGATGAAACGAGGCTGGGTCTTCCAACATGACAATGATCCAAAACACACCGCCCGGGCAACAAAGGAGTGGCTCCGTAAGAAGCATTTGAAAGTCCTGGAGTGGCCTAGCCAGTCTCCAGACCTCAACCCCATAGAAAATCTGTGGCGGGAGTTGAAAGTCCGTGTTGCTCGGCGACAGCCCCAAAACATCACTGCTCTCGAGAAGATCTGCATGGAGGAATGGGCCAAAATACCAGCTACTGTGTGTGCAAACCTGGTAAAGACCTATAGTAAACGTTTGACCTCTGTTATTGCCAACAAAGGTTATGTTACAAAGTATTGAGTTGTATTTTTGTTATTGACCAAATACTTATTTTCCACCCTGATTTACGAATAAATTCTTTACAAATCCTACCATGTGGATTCATGGATTTTTTTTTCACATTCTGTCTCTCACAGTTGAAGTGTACCTCTGGTGCAAATTACTGACCTCTGTCATCATTTTAGGTGGGGGAACTTGCACAATCGGTGGCTGACTAAATACTTTTTTTCAATCAATCAATCAATCTTTATTTATAAAGCACTTTTCATACAGAAAAAATGTAGCACAAAGTGCTTTACATAGTTAAAAGCAGCCCACCCCACCCTCCAACTCACTCCCCACACTCTCAATACACATATATCCCCCCACCCCCACCCACACACACATACACACACGCGCACACTTAAAGAGTAAAAATTGGGCTGGGCTCGCATGAGCCAAGTGAGCAAAATACTTTTTTGCCCCACTGTATATTTAAGAACATGCATTTAATATTATAACAAGTGGTTAAATGTTAAATCAGTGTTCCTAACCTTGCTACCCTTAAAGCCCAAAAGAGATAAAACTGTTTTGAAACTAACCAGGCATATGTATCACTAATGCCTAACTCTTCAAGGAATTGTTTATACTAAATTTAAGTGTATGGCTAATACACTTGTACTTAAATATGATGTTAAATATAGAGCATTAATTCCCCTTTTATTTAATATTGGTACTTTTACTTGAGTAAAATATCTGAGCACTCTGTTATAAAGTACTTGTTATAAATAACAAATAAATAACAGTATTTGGAAATTATTTTGACTGCAACTATTAATAATTTCCTTGGATTTTTCTTTTAGATTATGTCCAACCCCAGCAAAACACTCATCATCTTTACCACCAAAACCCAGCCCCAGGTACGACTACCAAGACTCAAATTATGGCATGGCCAATATTTTGTCATTACATTCTATTCTAATATTTGACGTATAGTGATGTTTTGGAGATTTCTTTTTCTTCTTCTTGTTTTTTAGAGTGAACATGAGGAAATCTCCCACGCATGTAAGTGATTACAAATTTTTAAGGCGCATAAAAGATACTGGACATTAAGAAGGATACCAATGGATTGGTGTTGTTATTATGCAGGTCCAGGAGACAACTGATGGGGATGAATATGAAGTTTGCGATCCAGACGATAGTGAGTATGAAATGAAATAAAAAGAACTATTTGTTCAGAAAGGCCAGTAATATGTACTAGTACTATTGCTGTGGCAGGGTTCACCTGAAAGACCTTGGAAGTGTTTCACTCCTTATCAAAGTGATGGAGTTTTAGATTAGGTGTTCCCTTTTATGATAAGGTCCCCTGCTCTGTATCATTACGAACAAACTGCCTGTATGCACACTGTGTTGGGTATATATAACTTATTGGACAGAGCAACACATTTTGTAGTTTTGCCTCTGTACACCACCGCAATGGATTTTAAACCAAACAATAATTATGTTAAAGTGCAATCAAGGTTTTTTACAAAAAAGATATATTAACTAAGAATTTAAGAATTAGAGCAATTTTTATAAATATTTTTTTTCAAACATCCAAAATTGTTTGGAAAAACTCTTTTTATATGCAAGTATTGATTTCAATACTTGGATTAAAATCTTTAATTTAATTTTCCCAGGCTAGAAACCACAAACATCACCAAATGCTGTGTTTATTCCTTTAAGATGCTTTGCCACTGTAATTTGTTGCCTATTTGTTCATTTTTTCACTCTGATCTATCTTCAGTAACTGAAAAAAATGCTTTATTAGGTTGGGATCATGCAACTCACTTGACATTCGAAGAATATACCAAGTTTTTGCCTTGAGAACCTCTTGAGTTACTTTTGCAGTATGGTCTGGGTGATTATCCATTTGCACTGTGAGGTGTTTTTTAGCATTAGGCTCAATCTGAGAGTATAGCCAGTCCTCTACACATCACAATCATCCTGTTACTTCTATAGTCACATCATCAAAAAACACTAGTGACCCATTTCCACTGGCAGCCATGCATGACCATGCCATAACATTGCCTCCACCAAGTGTGACAAATAATGTGGCATGCTTGGATCCCAGCTGTTTCTCTCCATCTTCATACTTTTCTCTTCTGATCTTTCTTATACGAATTCATCGCAGTTTAATCTGTCCAAATAACTGATTTTAGTGCCATGCAGGCTCTTTTAGATGTTTTCTAGCAAGTATGATCTGGCCTTCTTGCTCTTTAGTATAGCCAAAGGTTAGCACTTTGTTGTAACCCACTGTATTTGCATTAATGAAGGTGTCTCTTGAATTTACAATTTTCCAATGTTACACCGCCTACATAGTGTAAATAATGGGTGCTTCTTAGCTATGGAAATAATTCTGTCAATTTTGACACTTTGGGTGTCATCAGTGGGCTTTCAGGTCTTTGTGACCTTTATGAACAAATTTTTTATTTTAGCATTTTGGCTGCTGCCACGTTGGTTTTTAGGGCCAGAACTTTCCATATACAGGTGGCTTGAGTGCTAAGCTAACACTAGCAAGCTCAGTAGAAAGCTACACCCAAACATGGTACAGTTACAGACGCAAACATACTGATATGATATGTCTGTGAAGGTCATCCAGGTCATCGTAGTCAAAGGAGCTTGCAAAGAAAAGCGTCTGGACTTCTTTAAGTTGCTTGAAGACGTTTCACCTCTCATCCGAGAAGCTTCTTCAGTTCTAAGGTCAAATGGTGGAGAGTCCCAGATATAAACCTAGTGGGAGTATCCCCCCACAGAGGGACAAAAGGACCCCCTGATGATCCTCTAATTGCCTGAGCCAAGGTGTGAAAATGGGTGTGGCTCACAATCAGCCAGAGTTTCAGGTGAACTCATTGTGAAACCTGGCCCCACCTTATCATGCGAATTCCTGAGGTCAGATGGCCCAGGATGTGAGTGGGCGTTAAGGCGTCTGGAGAGGGATCTCAAAACTGGATTATAGATGCCAGACAGTTGGTGTCGTAAGCCCCGCCTCTGTTCAAAGATGGTCGCTCACAGTGGACATAGATGGCTTCTTTCACTCCTCTTTCAAACCATCTGTCCTCTCTGTCCAAAATGGGAACCTTGGCATCCTCGAAAGAGTGTCCTTTATCCTTAAGATGCAGATGGACTGCTGAGTCTTGTCCTGTGGAGGTGTCTCTTCTATGTTATGCCATGCGCTTGTGAAGTGGCTGTTTGGTCTCTCCAATGTAGAGGTCTGGGCATTCCTCGCTGCACTGTACAGCATACACCACATTGTTAACATACACCACATTGTTACGCTTTTCTTTGCAAGCTCCTTTGAATACTGATATGATACTAGACTTTCACTCAACAAAGTTGAAGCACAAACCTTTTAAGGAGTACCACTGTAATCCTTACTATCTGTAAGTTAATCCATTGAACTGCTACAAAAGGCATTACACCACAAACAGGATCAAAGGTTGCAGTTCAGGTCATTCGTATTAGTCAAGATCAGGCCAAGTAAAAAGCGTCAGATGCAGTGGTGTAAAGAACGCCACTCTCAAGTGACAAATCACTTTTCTACGATGGAATGACTAATTTATAATTTCAAAAATACTGACATAACTAGCATTTATACTGTATAGGGAACCCAGTAATACACTCATATAACTGCTTTGTATTTGCTCTTCTAGGTCCTGGGAGGAATCGTCCTCCACGTCTACCTAAACCTATACCCAGAGAGTAAGCATCACTTACCCTAACATTATTTCAGTTAACATAAAGCTATGAGCTCAAAGAATAGAATAAGTGATCATTTCCTTGTTTTCCACAGGAGGTCACCAAAACCACCTCTAGGACCGGTAGGAATTTAATTTAAATGAAAGCAATGCAAACAATGTTAGAATATTATAATTATCTGATTAAATGTCTAGTTTTTCATATAATACACTCATTCCTGTCAACATTACACACTTTCACTGATGACGGTGAAAGAAATACTAAATATGACTTTCATTCCAGAGGCCAGATTTAAAAGCAAAGGACTGTGAAAGTAAGTATTTTAATTAACTCCCATTATTAGCCACACCTGACTGAGCCTTTAATAAACACTGGGCAATCAGCCAATTAGTGCAATCTGCTTCCATAATTGTGTGCACAGCTTTAGCACACATCTCATTTCCTCTGTGGTTTCCACTTGCTTTCCCATTATCACTTAATTGCAGAAGCACACGAGCAGTACAGACAGTGCATAAGAATGACAGACGAGTTGGACTGTAGTAGATTTTACCGTCATTTACAGATTTTTCACGTTAAATCTATTCCAGTTATAAGGACTTAAATATACAGACTGAAAATGCTTTATTGACAAATTTTACAAACTGCTGATTACTGAAAAATTATCTTTATTTTCTACTTATACCTAAACAGTAAGCAGACTAATTTCAGCATGTCTGTATTTTTCAAGGCAAAACACTGCCTTTGGCTCATAATGAACAGAAGACTCCTCCAAAAGCCTTTACACTGGACTTTCAGCGACCAAAGTAAGTGGTAAAAAATGTCTTTAAGCACAGCTTTGTACTGTGCACTCACTGACGTCTGCTCTGTTTGTGGACTCTGTCTTGCAGAATTCCTATTCCACAGTTTACCTCCCCAAGTAAGTGTGGGCCCCCCTTGTGTCTAACATCCACGTACACAGGAATTTTGCACTTCAATGTAAAATGACATAAATTCTTACCGTTTATTTTCGCAGAGCCTCATGAAAATGACACAGGAGATCAAGATAAGGTGTGCTCGTAAAACAGTAGACTGCAAAGATGTTTTTCATAATACATTTGTAACCCTCATTTCCCTTCACTTTATTTCAGGATGCAGACATCTATAGGAAACCCTGGTATGCCAGTGGGTGCGACCGAAAAACTGCTGACGATGCCTTGTTTCGCTTGAATAAAGTGAGAATCTTCTTGGTGAGAAGAGAGAGCTGCTGAGCCGTCATTTTTGTAATCTGGGTTTGACTCTGAGCTTTTTCTGTTTCAGGACGGAGCGTTTATGGTGAGAAAGAGCTCTGGTCATGACGCACAGCAGCCGTATACGTTAGTGGTGTTTTACAATGGCAGAGTGTACAACATCCCAATCCGCTATATACCAAGCACTCAGCAGTATGCTCTGGGAAGAGAGAAGAAAGGGGAAGAGGTAAATATATGTCTTTGATAGGTCTGTTCAGTTTAAGTGTATCTGTACTTTAGTAAGAGCCCTTTTATGCCTGTCTAGGCTGCTGTTTGTCAGAATTGTGACACTAACAGTGCCATACACTTTACAGGTAACACATTAGTGTGGCAAATACCACAAAACTTACTATTTACTGCACTACTTGGTACAATAAATAACAACAGATATACTTTATGCTTCATTTAACCCACATTTAAGAAATTCTAAATAGGATGAGGATAGTAAGCATGCACAATAGTAGTAGAGTAAATGCTAAAGAAACGTGGCTATAGCTGGGAATTCGGTTAGAATTCATTTTGTTATTTAAACGTCTACTTTTCAAAATGTTTGGAAATTTTCTGCTTACTTACAGCGTTTACGGTAAATGGACAGATTTTTTATATAGTGTTTTTCTACACTACCTAAACACCTTATACAACTTGCCTCATTCACACAAGCATATTTTTCTGTGCGTTTTCCTACGTGTTTTTTATCTAATGTTCACACACATTTATGCTCTGATGGATGCATCGAGAGCAACTTGGGTTTGTGTCTTACCCAAAGATATCATTTTCCCAAGCAAATGATCTGCCTAGCTGATTTGGCACAGGTTCTGTGCTGGCTGTCCTACCTGATGATGAAACCCTACCCTTTCATCTGGGCTTAGGACCAGCACCAGAGGTGTATTGGCTTGTAAGCCCTCGTGGGCTCTTGTGTGTCAGGCAAAAGCTAGGGGAAATTATTCCTTTTTCAAGCTACATAAACCAAAAAGATTTTCCAATTTAATCAGTAGTGTTATGAATTAGAAAGGTACCCTGCTTTATTAATAATTATTAGACTCATATTAAAGAAACAACAACACTTTGACTGTCTTCTTAAAAAACGAATCACCTTTTTTGCAAATTTCCCTTTTGAATAAACTTCCTAAATGAAAGGTCCCATATTAAAGCCTTTTTTAACAAGTTCATTTAACTCACCTGGCCCCAGGGCCTACAAACTGTAGACATTATTATTATTATTATTATTATTATTATTATTATTATTATTATTATTATTATTATTATTATTAAAACGCTTTCTACCTGTCAGCTTGTTTTTTCACCTAAAGGGTCATCCAGTGATTCGTGAAGTTGGCCGCTGTGGTTAGATAGTAGATAGTAGTATTTACCAATCAGATTGTTGGTAGGTTAATCCGCAGTCAAAGCATCAGGTTTGTGTGTGAATGTTAGAAAAAGGTTCTTAGACATAGATAAGAGCTGTATGAATGTGTGTGACTGAGTGAATTACACTTGTAGAAAGTGTTTTGATTGCTTAAACTGAGTAGAAAGGCAACACATAAGTACCAGTCCATTTACCCTTACCATTAATTTATAGTGCCACAAGTCTGTGGCCAAAAAAGAGCAATGATATGAGAGTCTTATGAAAATTCCGAAATCCTGCTCATCATGAGATCTGGCCAGCATGAGATTTTAAAAAAAAACTCCTGCAAACCTCAAGAACCTTTTACTTCCACTTGATCAATGGAATCGATTCCATTAAATGTAGCATGTCACATTATACTTACGTAACAAAACTACATGAAAAACTTGCATATAATTAAATTACTTTAAGTCAGCATTTTGGGAATAGATATATTTTTGTCTTTAGGCAGCATCGTTGTAAAATGTGCCATATTCAAATACGTTTTCAAAAATGGCATCAACATGCACGCATAAAGACAAGGCCATGTCCTAACACAGAGACCTACACAGTGGTGGACAGGGTTAAAATGATCTCAAGCCTCATCCTAATGCTGTAAACATTTTCCTTTAGTCTAACAGAATATTCTCCTTTGTGGGGGTTTTTTCTCATTGCAGCACTTCAGCAGCATCTCTAAGATCATTGAGAACCACCAGAGAAACCCCCTGGTGCTGATTGACAGTCAGAGCAATGCCAAAGAAGCCACCAAGTTATGCTACCCAGTGAAGCCCTAGGCGACCCTCGGTGACTCCAAACAGCAGAGTGATTGGTGCTGAGCGACTCGGTCCACTGTGTTTGCTGACTTTACAGAGGTCACTGGGGGCTGGTTTGAAACACACCCGAGTGCAGAGCTTGATTGTTTCAAAACAAGCACAGGAGTCACCCAGTGCGGGCGTGCATGAGAACCTCACCAACACGGAAGCTTCCGTCGTGTTATGTTAAAGATTATTTAGATTGACACCCTGGCGAGTGATGTGACATCACAGTGTTACACTGATAATGAATCGTCTTTCCCCAATTTTCTGAGAACTTATCTTGACAGAATTCCTCACTTGTGATAATTCTTTTTTTCCTTTTGACCTAATGCAGCATCAAGTGGTCTGACACTATATGATATATGATTTTATGTATGCATTTCTGCCAAACTGACTAAGAACTGTGTGTGAAAAGCAATCCTTTTTCTACTGTCCACAATGACACCTTGAACTGTAAATCTACAATTATAACTTGCCGAATTGGCATAAATAACGTACACAGAATACTAGAATGTGTCTAGAGCTGGACTTTGAGCTCTACAGGGGACACCAACCAGGTTCAGAATAAACCGCAGGAGCACGCAATGGGATTTCAATAAGCGTGAGCCAGACAACACAAATTCAAACCCATCCCAACCCTTAATCTGTGGTTAGGATGTTGTGCAGGAGCAGCAGCCCCATTATCTTTTTCCCCTTCTTCAATGGTGGAAGGACTGCACACTGGACCTGCCTGCACTGCTGGCCATGCAGAGCTGAAGTAGCACAGACACAGAGAACTTTTAAACTCATGTTTTATTCACTTTTTTTTTAATGCTCAGTTGGTAAACAGTGTTTTAAAATGAATCAGGGAATGAGACAGCTTTGCTGTAAGCAGAAAGAAGCAGGAAGCAGTAGGTTTATGATAGCAATACTTCAAGGAGCAATTTCTACAAGGTTGTATATTTGGTTTTAATAAAAAAAACTTTTGTCTCGTATATTCAGTCACAACAAAATGTCACCAGGAACTTACAAAGTCTTCCATTTATTCTCTCTTCAACATGTAATGCTATCACACTCGTGTACATTTGTTGCATAAAAATAATTCCTAGGCACTTTGTGAAAAATTCTCAGGTTATATAATATTTTGTACCTCTAGCAGAACTATGTACAATTATAAATCTCAGAAGCTAAACTGAAAAAGAATTATTCACACTTATGAAATGGAGATTCATGCACAATTTATATACATACATCCATTCAATAGTCAGACACAAACAAACACATGACAGCAGGCACACGTTTCTCTCTTTCTCTCTGTGAATACTGAGGGATCACGGCTGCACGAGGAAATGTCGAGCCACAGTAGGACACCGGTTGAGATTGTCATAGGCTTCGGCCTGATAAGGTGAGGTAACGGGAAATGTATATTCTGCTTTCATAGTGCAATCAAAGGATAAGATTATCATCATTTCAAGTCAAACAGAGGAAATGTACGGAGGACCAAAAAAAATTTAATTAAATAAAAATCATGATCAGATCATCGAGGCCTATTTAAGTTAAAAAAAAATCTAGGTTTGATTTTTTTTTTTAAGAACTCAATTTGTCACTGAACATGACAACACAGGTATGTTTTGAAAGTAGTCCTCGGTGTATTAGCTCCCACTGCATGAACAAATGCATCAAAATATTCTCTTGCAGTTAATACTATATTTGAACATAATTTGGAGTTTACACAAAAGGGGGAAAAAAAAAAAAAAAAAAGCAAATACACTTATTTTGCTAATGACCTGGGGAGGAAATGCATATAGGAAGCACATAAAGGCTAAACCGAAGTATCATAAATAAATGTTTCATAAAACAGCTTATTGGGGTTTTGGTTTTTTTGTTTTTTTGTTTTAAACACAGTTTTGGTTTATCCGAGTAACTTGTGGGTCCCTGTGACCCATTCCAAAAAACATAAATATTACAGCTACCACACTGTATAGCCTACCCGTACATAAACTGATCCGTAAAACAGATGGTATGGCAAATATACATATTACAGTGTTCTATAAAGATTTCATACAACAGTGTACTTATGTCACCTTAAATAAAGCTATTGCGTAGACAATAAGACAAACAAAGAACAAAATTATCAACGCCACTTCCTTGTGGCTTTACATATAATCACTCATCTCCAAAAAGAGGTGCATCAAGCTACTCAGACTGGGAGAGACAATAGGTAAAAATACCCTGAGAATGTGAACCCTCCAGGAAGCATGACTTGATTCTTATCAAAGAAAAGAAGAAAAAAACAACAACAACCTTTTAGACGTAAAAATAAAAATGGTTTCCATTATTGCGTTCTCTTATTGCAAATTCACCTTTTTCCAGACTATTTTAAGTTTGCTTTGGGTTGTTTTGTTTTTTTAAATCCAGTGTGTGCGACATTTAAGAGTTTTCACAGTTTGGCCTATTCCACTCCATCAGGTGCCGCTGCCGGTGGGCCAGCCACATTTCCTGACTGGTGAAGACCCTGCCGCAAAACCAGCAGCGAAACTTCGTCACGACGTCTCTGCTGGGAGACATCACGCCCACCATTTCGTACTTTTTCCTGCTCAGCCTGCGAAGTTTGAACTTCAAAGAGAACCTTTCCTGCACTGAGTTTTTACCGCTCCACGCGGCTTCCGTTAGGTCGTCTGCCGCAGGGAGCTCGCTGCTCAAAGCCGAGAGCGCGTTCAGAGTCCTGCGTGACAGTATGACCTTCTGCACATCTCCTCTGTACCTGTTCACAACCTCCATGATCCTGGCCACCTCAGGAATGTCAGCATCGGGATGATTTAGCACTACAACAGGCTGGTCTCCTGTTGGACGCTTTACCAGCTGAGAGGGATTTAAGGCTACCAACTTCAAGGTCCTCTCCAGATCTTTTGGGACGGGCTGCCACCGACAGCCAGGGGCTGATGAGGGCTCTTCTTGGATGGCTTTACCAGCAGGTGAATGGTTTTTGTTGAGGATGTTTGTGAAGGAGTCTACAGGCACTTCTCCAAATTTCACCCCTTCAATGCTCCGATCACTCAGCTTTGCAGATGGGCCACAGCAGGAACCCATCTTATCTGCAAAATAAAAAGTAAAAAACACTCAGCATATTTAAAATTACAACTCAAAGTTCAAATATTGGGAATAAAATGCCATTGGAAATTAAATCTTCAGACATTTTATGTAGAGAAAGTAGAAATTCTAATTTTACCTCGTGTTGGAAGAGCCGGTTGGGAAATAGAGGAAGTTTGAGGAGTCACTCCATCAGCAGCAGAACTCATCTCATCATTCGACTCAGGGTAGCGACTGCCATTCTGCGATGGCTCAAGCCCTACATTCTCAAGGCTTGCTTCAGTCACTGACCCAGCCTTTGGATTTGTTGGACTCATCCAAAGGGCTGAAATGCTCTTGTCAACTTCCATGAAGTTCAGCAACTTCTCTGCATCGCCCTCCAGTTCTTGATGTGCCGGAATCAAACCTTCACGTAGATCTGGCGTGTTTGCAGTCATATTTCTAGAACTTGTTGGTTTTGCAGTGCATCCTGGAGTGAAGTCCTCTTTTGGCTTTGATTGCTGAATTGAGCTAATGGCTTCAAATTGGTCATAGAGTTCAGTCTCTGAACCTTTGGTCCATTTCTTCTGGTGTACTTCTAATGGGCACACGGTTTGGACAATCTGTACAGTCTCCTCCATTGCCGTATGAGGATATTGCAGTCCATGCTGGCCACTGCCCTCTGATGGAGACAAAGAAGTTTGTGACACCCACTGCTTGTCCTTCACAGGATTTTTTTTCAATACTATCTTTAAGGACAGCTCTGGTGACCTTTTATTTGCTTTTTTAAACCTGGTCTTCCTTTTACGCCGTCGACATTTCCTCTTGTTTTTTGGCATGACTTTATATTTGGGCATTTGCTCCTCAGCCTCCTTTGTCAACTTCAGATCACTGGGAACATGATTGCCATCACCATAAACAGGCCCCTCCAGCTTTTTAATATGCTCTTCAGTTTCCTGAGCAATCTTTAGTTCCTGATTCTCTCGGTTTTCCTGGATGTGAGTGCACTCCGTTGGCTCAGTGTGGGCTGATGCCGAGACATCATTATGTAGTTTATTTTCAGCATGCATACACGGAGCACACTCGTTCAAAGTCGAGTGACATCCATTTTGGTTGACCACGCACTGAGCATCGCCAGCAGCACTTTCAGCTTCCTTATCTGACGATGCCACCGTTTTCAACCTTTTGCCGTAAGAAGCACCGTTCTGAGCTACAGTTATCTTGTTCTTCAGCGTCAAAACAGTAAGATCTGATGACACGATGCTGTTCTCCTGCATGGGGAGAAGATTTATATCTTGCGGGATGTTTGACAGAACAGTTTTCAGGGCCTTGGTCCATTTCTGGTCACCAGTTTCTCCTGCAACAGATTTCATCAGAAACTGTTGAGTCTCCTCTAGTGTTGTTTGTGGATCTGACAGATGGCAGTATTTATCCAAGAATTCTTTCCCGGGCAGAGAAAGGCAGTCCGGCGTCAGCCAGCGCATTTCCCTAACTACACTTCTTGTTCTGGGCTTCACATTGGGGATTGTATCATTTGGTTGTATTGCTAGAGAATGAACCGCCTTCCTTTTTTTCTTCTGGTTGCCATTCTGGCACATATGGGCAGTCTTAATGTGCTTAGTTATCAACCATTTCTGAGATGCCTCAAAGCCACAGAGATGACAGTGTAACCTTTGAGTAGTTGATAGCTGATTCACGTCCTTTGTGTGCACCAACAGATCATCGGCTCCTTCCAGGTCCAAATTATGTACGTACACATGCTCTAAAAATACTCTAACATCACCTGTGGAGAATTTCTGGCACATTTCACATGAGTATTTGCCGTTTGGGCAGTGATACGCAGTCAGGTGAGCACTGAATTCAGGCCATGTGCGTCTAATGTCATCATTGCATATGCTGCAGCTAGAAAAAGTGTCTTTGTGGCTTAATAGGTGGACCTGAAGATAGGAGAACTTGTCTGTGCTAAAACTACATACATGACAGGAAAAAAATGGGGTAATCCCTCTGTGTTTTTCCTCAAAGTGTCTCATTAAGTCTTTGGGAACATATTCCAAATTGTCACTGCACTGAGAGCAGGTGAACCGGAGCGCATTCCCATGGTTATTTGTCCCGCACTGGCTTTGCGGCACTTCCTGCGAGGGCTTCTTTGATGAAGGCCGCACTGTGCTCTGCTCCCACTCCTCTGATATCTTTTTTGGTCCACACTTATCTTCATTTTGCATAGCTAGGGGCTGAACGGCATTCTTCCTGAGGTGGAGCTGTTTGTGGCGGTCTCTGTTCTTATTGTTGGTACGCTGTTTATTATCTCCTGCAGATGTAGCTGTGCAGATACCCACCGAATCCATGGTTTTAATTTGTTGTTTTCCAGATTTCTGAAAGTGCAGAAAAACACAAGCAATTTGGTCATACTGTACTTTATTCTCTGTGCTTCATCATTTTACAGCTGCTGCATTCACTGTCCTGCTCTGCATCCTAATTTAATACAAGTCCACCTGTTGCTGGCTATGGTTCAAACTGTGTCTACCTGGATGTAAAATTACACATATGGTACAATAATAATAAACTATTTGCGACTACCAGGTGCAGGAAACCCACCTGCTCCATTTATGAACTTTCATGCGCTGCATAAACCCAGCATATATGTGCTATGCTAAGCGATGCAGCTAAAAACATCCCTCTCGACTCAAAAAATTAAATAAATGACGCACATAAACAAGAATAGACTGAGCTAGCACTTTTTAGCAGATTAAACAGAGGGGTGTTGCGCGGCCATTGTGCAGTTTGACTTGACCACAACAAAGTGACAAGACTCGCTTTGTAGAGAGACAACGACCGCCTCGGGAATAAAGTTAGACAAAACCGTAGCACCAGAGTCTCTCCACTATCGCACAAACAGGAGTGTTTTTAATTTGGTGACCAAGCTAACTGTTAAAACTGAGGCGGCGTTTAACTGATTTGAATTAACGTGACGCAGAAGAGCTTACAAAGACGGAATAACTTGAGGGATACAAAGCGTGCCAACAAAGTTACACCGCATCCGTTTATTCATCTCGCGTCGACTTTTTACTGCACAAAGACCCGAGCGGTTGAATAAATCATTAATAAAGCCGTAGCTGTTTAACTAGTAGTCTCTGAATTTTTTTCTTTTTTTTTCTTTTTTTTTTACCTTTTCTTTTGTGGAGAGCTTGACAGCTCAGCGAGTGGCAGCCATGATGGTTTTTCATCCGGGGATTACAGCCTCTGAGCTGCTTTTAGCCTTTAGCCGGGTGCCTCCGTCCTGTCCCGGGCCTACAGCTAAGCACAGACGCCGAGCTGATTTAATGGGGAAAACAGCCCTCAGTGCGCCCACGTAGCGTAGTTTAAAAAAAAAAAATACTCCTGCTAGCAGAAGACAAGAAAACCGAAAATAGTGGAAATATAACAAGGCGTACATGAAAACACCTATTTTCCAAAATTGTTAGCAAAATAATAATAATAACAACATTAACTGGTCGCGGCTAACTACTGCAGCCCACAGCACAGCTCGCATGCTGGCTTTTGTATGACGGTAACAATTCCACTGAGTAGTCTTAAATGTTATTATGAGCTTTCATACAATATGTTTCTGTGTGAATGTAAACTTCTAAGGAAGCTGTTCATGTCCTTTCCAACATGAACATTTCTAGAGTTATTTTTCTACAGGAGTGGATTAAAGTGAAGCAAATTGTTAAACTGCCCCCAAATAGGACCTTCACAGATTGGTCCACATGGTCACAAAAAACCATTTACATCACTCAAACCAAGGACACCCTAGGAATTGAGGAATAATCCCAGGCTACTCACAGCAAAATTTCAGTTTTAAAGATTGTTTACATTTCTGCCCCCAAAGTGCGCTGCCAACTTTTGCATTTATGTTTCTTTTTGAAACAAAAAAATGAAAAATTTGGGCATTGCTCTTGGTTTTGGATACTGTGTCAAATACAGTGAAAATACAATGAACTTTATTTTGTGCATTTTTAGAATGATTCGACAGCCACACGTTGTTAGACAACAGTTATGCAATGTCCTCAATTTCACAGTCGCATCCACACCTTGTTCCTCACATCCAGTTTCAACATAGAAAGTTGGTAATTGTGAAAATGCTCAACTCAAGTCTTTAAAATGGGACTTTAAGAATTATTGATTGATGGCTACATCGATTTTTTTGGATGGACCAAAAGCAAGGTGAGGATTATTACAAAAATAAAAACTGTAGGAAATTTGTGTCTTTATATTTTTTATTTAAGTATTTAGGTCTCTTCGATCATATATAGTGTGTTACTGGATCATAATTATTGATTCATTCATGATTTTAACTTCTACTGAGTATCCAGTAGACAGTCTATATGTCTATGAAGTGCTGTGTTTACAATTAACAGTGACTGAAAAAAAATCAATGAATGTTACACAATGTAAGTATAATCTGATGGTTTTGTTTCTTTCGGTTTTGTATAAGAAGTAAAACCCTGTGGTAGTCAATCAACACAATAAGATCTGAACTGGTGATAGCCTCAGTCAGACTCAAGCAGGGATGTGTTTGTATTTGTTATTCCAGGCAGGTACAGCGTTGAATGCAGTCTATAATACTGCAAAACACTGAACAAGTGAAAGTTTAGGTTGCCTCTGCTCTGCCTGCTATATCCTTTGGGTTTGTGGAGCACTTCACAAATTTAATTAACACACAGTGAAGGGCTTCGTATAGTTCAATAGCAGCTATAAAATTTGACCACTGGGCCTGGAGTGGAGCAAATGTGACACCCTTTATTGCAGCTACTTAATGGGCTGTAGATTCATTCGCACTTGTGACCTTTCGGCAATCTTTAATAAGACTCTCTAATTTGAATTGTAAATGGACATAATCACTATAGGGATTTTAATAAGTGACTTCGTGTAGGTACAAATTAGTATGCCATCTTTTACTGACTGACTTTTTAAGTATTAAAAGTATGAGACAGTAGAATGCTGACTCTTCAGAGCTGACCCACACTTTCTAAACCACCGACATGACCCTATCCATGGATTTTTAATTACAAACTGTGCCATCTGTCCTTTATGATTAGTTTACAAAAATCACTTTTAGATTTTAAAGTTGTCAGAACAACGCCCCTCTAACAGAGTTTAAATGAATGCATCTGGGCAGCATTGCAGATTTTAGCTGGGTCTCCAGAGGAATGTTGCCTATTTTGAGACACCAATGCCAGGAAGTAAACAGCTTTATGATGCTAACCTTAAATAGGATCAGTAACTTAAAGGTTGTTTACATCATCTGCCATTTCTCTCCATGTGCTTTTTGAATGACTCTGCAGTGGCTTGGTCACACTACTGAGCCGGACAATAGCTGTCAGCTGCACTCCAAGTAGGAGCTGCATGACACAACAAAGAAGAAGAAGAAGAAGAAAAAAGCCACTGGCTCCCTCCACCCAGGACACCATTCGTTTCCGCTGACAGACAGTTTCAGTCCTTTATAAAGACGGCTTCCCACCGCCTCAGCAATATCTACCACAGAGTGGTTAGCATTACCAATCCTCTTAACCCTCACCCCCTGCATGCAGCCACACTCCCAGACTGCTCTTTCCATTATTTAAATGCATCACGGAAGCAGTGTGGTGTTTTCTTGTAAAATGTAAATTTGTTATGCGCCAGACAATATTTAAAAAATAAAAAGGTTGTCTTAAGTGATGTTAATGTTAACCTTTAAATGTTATCTTCAAGTTACTGATCCATTGTTGCAAGATAAGGACTAGGTGTGGCTCAGTCAGTCGTACCGGCATCCTTATCACAGCCCCTGGGAAGCCACCAGGGAGTCGACCCTTCTTTGATCTTCCTTTGTCACCTGATAAAACTTGTCCCCAGCATTGGTGGCTCAAAATAGTCAACATTCCTCTGTAGCTCCAGCTAAAAATCTGCACTGCTTCCCGAATGCACTCATTTACATATATCAAATCAATTTCCCTCACCATCATCACTAAAATGGGTTCTTCTGCTAACCTGGAAAATCTGGAAAAGTGCATTACATAGAATTCCCCTTGCTCTTGAAGTTATAGAGGAACAGATGTTACTTTAACCTATTTGAGTTAAATTAAATGGTCCTGTGCCTCTGGGACAAACTGACCCATTTTGGAGTTGCATTACAAAAAGTGACTGATTGAATTACTTTGCCTGCACAGGGATTTTTTTTACATGTATATTGGAAAAACAATTATTCTTCTATTGTAAGTTTTAAAGGTCATCACACTCTCCTGGGAGTAGATAAAACTCAGTTAGGTAAATGTAGCCACAAAGAAAATAATCACTTTCACATTTGTTATCACAGCTGTGTACACAAACAGACGTGACGCAGATGTAAATTCAATGAGCATTTTCTTTTTAGTAGATTTTCACCATATTTCATTCATTGAATGTGCTGCACTAATGGATTGGCCCACTATTTTAGTTTTTACTTTCACTTGATATTTTCACTTTCATGAGAGAAAGGAACAAACCAGTATCATCTAGCCTAGAAACCAACAACCTGGTTAGAAGGAATGGTTACAGTGACTCAGCACTACTGTGAGACAGCAAGACAAACAAGACGGATATGAGTTTCTCTAAAACTAATATAATATAATATAATATAATATAATATAATATAATATAATATAATATAA